CCATTAAAAGTTATGGACCACGGTTTGCAATTACTAGGTTTTAATAAAGATTTCAAAATTTTCCATAACTCTTTGCTGTTGTTTTGATGCTGATCAATCTTCCTTTGAACATATTCACAACGAGTTTTCTTTATCGATTGTGAATACTTATTACGCGCGATTGTGTACCTAGTCCAATGATTGTCATTATTAGATCTACAAAACTTTTTGTACAATTTGTCCCTTTTCCGTTTAAGACGCAAAAGATCCAAATTGTACCAGCTGTTCGAGTTTTTCAAAGAAACAAACTTTTGCTCAACTAGTTGATTGGTACACGTTTTCAAAGCGTTATTAAGAACAGCTGTAGATTCATCTAAGTTACCGGCCGCGAATGTAAAATCCAGGCTTCTCTCAACAAGATTCGAAACAGCTTGCTTCGAATATTTCCTCCAGCACTTCAATTTTACAAAATTATCGTTATCGTTAACATGGTCTAAGACATTAATCACTAAAGTCTCATGATCGGTTATTTTCAAATCAGTATCCGTAACTGAACAAATGGAATCAAAATTGGAATAAACGTGGTCAATTAAAGTTCTACTGTGCCTGGAAATACGCGTATACTCATTTACCGTTTGCTTTAAATTAAAAAACTCAGCTAAACGCTTCAAATGATTCGAATTATGGTTATCACGCCAATTAATATTAAAATCACCAGCCAATATATTTAATTTACTAGAATCAAGGAATGTCTCAAACCAGTTCTCTAAAACTTCAACAAAACGCTGGTCACTAGAACTGGGAGAATGATACAAAACACCATAATTACCCATCTTCATGCCACGTACAACTGTAATGCCCAAGAACCAGTTGCCATCAATAACTTCGTTGGTACGAAGGTTGAATTGAACTGATTCTTTGACATAAATAGCAACACCGCCAGTGTGTCTAGAATGTGATAAACAAGCAGCAACAATATATCCCGGAATACTATACTGATCAAAAGCTTCAGTTTCTACAATATGAGTTTCAGATAAGAAAACTAAAAGAGGACGTTTTTCCTCAACAATCTGACGTAATGCTACGTAGTTTGTTGATATCTTGAAACAATACACACGGAATCCAGTATTCAAGCGGCCAACATAGGCTAGTCCTTCTGCTGTATTGTCAAAGATAGAAGCAAAATTTATTCAAATGGGTCAAGTCTTGAAAACTAAGCTGTCATGCAGCTCGAGCTTGATACCCAATAAAAAAAAAAGAGTTCTGTCAGTTAAATAATTTTGAACTAATTTCATAATACAGAGAAGAAAATTAAACTTTTTCAATTTAGCAATCAAACCTTCATGCCAAACACTGTCGAATGCTTTTTCTATGTCTAGAAGAGCAACTCCAGTTGAGCAGCCTTCATATTTGTTTGAAAGAATTAAATTGGTAACTCTTAGTCACATGAAGGTGTTAAATAAAAAATACGGGTCTAATATATTGCGATAAGGAACAAAACTACCAATTTTTACAAAATTCTGAGAACCACTTTATCGTTTTGCTGTATACAGAGAAAAAAAGTGAAAACTCCTTTAAAACAGATAGCAGTAAATTAAAACTTATTTAACCCCGTTAATTAACGTTAAAATTTCGCAAAAAAAATCTTATTATTGCAGGCAACCTTTGGGGTCATTCAATCAATCGCATATGAATTAAAATAAATTTAGCGAGGGTTCACTTTATCCCCTTACTCCCCTATAAGGTGTACCCCGTATTCCCCTAATATCTCATGAACTGTTGTTTAAAGACATAGTATTCTAAAACCATGCATAAAGTGCTTATGTTTTACGAAAAATAGAGCTGTGAAAAAACATTTCCTCCCAAAAGTAGGGGGAAATGGGGTAAAATGGTCCAAACACATACATACAAGGCTCTCCGGTCTATGGGACCACGTGCAATTGATTCCCCGGACGATTTTCCTTCGGAAAAGTTGTTTTTCATGACCTGAATTATATTGAATTTTGGGTAATTTTGGACCCATTTTTGCCCATAGTGCGTTGGAAGCACTTCAAAAATTATTTCATCTGACCTGACTGGCAAACACATATTTATGTAAAACCGAATTGCAAGTAGGGGTTTTAATCTAATTTCCGTCCTAATAAGTACAACCTGCGCTTTACCTCTCTTTTTTTGACGGGTTTGAACAGAAAATGGAATATCTCTGTTAAAGATGACTTCTAAATTTATTCACCTTTCAATACGTTGGATATGAAAAAGAGTCCCTAATTGTTGAGATATTGTTCAAAATCTAATTCGCACTAACGCATTGAAACGCCATTAGATTTTCTTCGTCCTACGGATAAACGTAGAAAAAGGGGATTCGCTAGGAGCGCCTCTTTTCTTTTGAGAACAATGTGCGTAAATATTCATACAATGCGCTTTAATAGGATTTATGTTGTAGCTAATGAACTAACGCATCGAAACAAACCTATTATCGATTTGTGCACGGTGAAATCATTGATTTTATTGATCTTTTTTGATCGATAGAACGGAAATGGGCAAATACGACGAAGTAGTGTCTACCCTATGTAAAATGAGTACCATCGTCCGAATAGCGTGGGGGGTCGTACCATATTCCCATCGCTATTTCTCGGTTGTCCTCTAACCAATCGAACAGATTAATTGTAGATGACTAATTTAGAGCACAATAGCACTAGTAAAGAAAATAGATAGATTTGCCAAAAGACAGAAATAACGGTAGGTGGATAAAGATGTCAGTAAGAACATGGTACACAATGGTTTACAAACTTATTTTGAACTATGGGTTTGCTGACGACACATGACAGTAACGTAAACAGTTAACTCATACATTGATTTTGGCATAGAAAACACTACCTCTCACTCATCTTGTCATATCTCAAAAACTATTTGTCCAAATCATTTGCCCTTGGAAATACATCAAGTACAAGAGTTTTCCAAAGTGTGGTGGAAATTTGAGCCCAAAATATAAAGAAATAAAAAAGCCCTTTTTTGACAATTTTAATACCTGCCAGTAATTTTCCTGTTTACTGTAGTCACTATAACAAAAACAAAATGTTTGTACATTTATAAAAATCTACATTAAAAACCTTCAAATTGACGTTCTAAGATCACGAATAGCTTATTTGGTTGTGAAGTAATCTCTTCTGAAAGTTGAAATTTTTTTGAATCTCGAAAATACAGGGTTGTACATAGCCCAGAAAGATCTAGGCACTTTAGAGCAAAATAAAAAAAGACGTTTGTTCAGAATGCCAAAATAAGCGTTTTGGGCAAGTTTGGCTCAAATCTATGACATCGAAGCCGCAACTTATTGAAATTTTATCACCGGTTCTCCAACGAACACAAATCAAGTAAAAATGATAACTTCCGAATATTGCAAAAAAAAGCTGCATGATCAACTTTATCCCGGAATTGAATATTTGCATTTTTACTCTAATTTTAATTCGAAAAAAAAACGAACATGCTATTTGAAAACTAAATAAGGGAAATGTTGGCTTCGGCAATACCTTAACCTATTATCGTCAGGGGGTAAACAACGTCCTTGATAGCTCAATCCCCCTACATATTTTAGAAAAGATTTTGCTATTAAATGTTTGAGAGGTAATTAATTGTGTTCTAAACATATGGTTGGAAAAATATTGAGGTTTATCGGTAAGTTGAAAACAATGATGGTATCTTTTTCTGGGCCGATGCCTAGCTTTATTTTGATATTCATAAACATTTTTAGCGCTCTAGATCAACACTAAATCACCCTAGGGGGGCTCCTGAATATAGCCGACAAGATCGATCTCAATGAAAATAATCAAATTTAACATAGAAGCACAAACGTGAGCTCAGATTATCTCTCGGTGTAGGTAGTATCAAAGGGAACAGACGTCAAACTTCCGTCTTGTGTAAATATAAATGGGAACATCGCCGTTATGTGGTGCTAGCGTCTCCTGATTTTCTCTATAAATTCTCCAATTTTGGCGCTAGTGTTGATAAATTTTCTGTAGAAAATTGCCACTCGGCGCTACCGGCATTTAGTGTCTATGTATTTCTAGGACGAGCAAATTTGCTGTCAAATCAGATCCAGTTTCTGATTGGTCGATTTGACAGTAGCAATCGTGGAATAAAAAGGATACACGCTAACTTGAAAGTACCCATTAATGGTTGAAAAAGACCCATTTTGAAGAAAAGTGGCTTAACTCATTAAATGAGTAAAATTTTTACCCATTAATGAGTATCTGTTACCCATTAATGAGTAATTGTTAATCATTAATGGGTAACAGATACTCATTAATGGGTAAAATTGTTTAATCATTAATGAGTTAAGCCACTTTTCTTCAAAATGGGTCTTTTTTTACTCATTAATGAGTACTTTCACTTTAGCGTGTAGGGGGATCGCATAAATCTGGCTGGCAGTGATGCCGGAATCAATGTTGACGTCAACGAAGTTGTTAATTGTTTATATATGCGAAAGGAAACTTGAAAAATTGAGTGCAGTGCGTTTTTAAGTGATGGATATTGTTGTTTGTTTATGGTTGTTTTTATTGTGTTGAGCAAAAATGATGTACAATAACAATAATAATGAATATCCAATTCCCAAGTAGAGAGGTTTCTGGCCATTATTTCAGCTGAATGCAATGCATCAGAAACTATTTATTCAATTCAACGTTAAAAAACTTATACCTTGTAGATCTAGCATGTGATTCTAGCATTCAATAGCTAATTTGAACCTTCAGTTTGAAAGTTGCTACTCTGTGAAATGACTTTTGAGCCGTCTAAAATCCGTATTTTTGAGACAAAATATTTGTTCTTGTAACTCGTAAAAATACTCATCTACATCGAAACATAAATTATAAGTCTTCTACAGTCTCTACAGGTAAAACCTTTATTATAAAAGCTGATTCTAATGATTTATGGGATGTTTAGCTTGGATTGAAAAATTGGCTTGGATAATCTTAGAGATACATCCTTTGCATAATAGAACAAATTCAAAAATACAAAATTTTCTATAGGTACCTGAAAGATATCCGCTCTACAGTCAACAAGACACACTGAACTGGCCCCTCAATGAATTGCGAATGGAAATCAATCGGACGCCACCAAAGCGTGTGCCCAACGGATTTCTGGGAGTGCGTGGAAAAAAAATGACAGGTAATTTTAATATGGTTGAAGATGCTAATTTCACAATGCCGTACTCTAACGGAACTATCAACTCTATTCTTTCATCTCCTCATCTATCGTATAAAAATAACAACTTAAGTCTGTTATTTTAAATTAGCATCTTCAACTATGTAAACCGTTAACTTCACGCAGAAGTAATACAAACATAAATAGTAAAAGGTAATTTAAGTTTTTACATCAGAGCTGCCAGGTAATATTTTTAAAAATCTGTATAACTCATAAATAAAAGTCGGTATTTTCTGAATTGCCATTTGAGGGATGTTTTCGTAGCTAATTTCGAAAGTAGTAAAGTCTGTGTATTTTAAATTTTGTAAAGTAAATAAAGTAGTGAAACTTGTCTTTAAAAAAGCATTGTATAAAAACGATTTGATCTGTACAATATTTCGAAAATCTATATTTAATCTGTATTAAATTTTGAAAATCCGTATATTTCCTGTATTCTGTATCACATCTGCATTGGCGTTTCAATATGTGTATAACACAGACAATTTAATTCATGAAAAATGTATATAGGGGGCAGTAGTCAACAATGAGACAGCAGGAACAATGAGTCAACGGGAATATCTTAACCTTAAAAGTGAAAAAAATTCTTGATATTTTCCTAGATATTGTATGGTCTCCTTTTTTCAATCACGCGCGAAGAAAGATTAGAATCCGTACAAAAACAATTTCTATTATACGCTCTTCGTAAATTAGGTTGGACATCATTTCCTCTTCCATCATATGAAGCACGGTGAATGCTTATAAACATACAAACATTACAAGAGCGTCGTGAATATGCAATGGTTTCATTTGTAAACGATATCGTTTCGCAGCGCATTGACTCCACAGAACTTTTATCAAAATTAAATTTTCATGCACCTACTCGGCAACTCCGAAATCGAAATTTATTTGCCATAAGACATCATTGCACAAATTATGCAAAATATGGGCTATTAAACCGTATGATGACCTCTTACAATCATTACTGCGAAACCATTGACTTTACAATGTCTCTGCATAAACTTAAACAATATTTTTACAGAGTTGGTTGGAAATGCTAACATGAAGCTGTACTCCGTTAGAGTACGGCAGTATAAAAATTGAATAGAAGTTGAAAATGAGCGAAGGACCATTAATGCAACAGTTGTAACAAGTACGCTTTTCATTTATTTAGTTATTTTTTTAGTTAGTTATTTATTTGTATAGAATTCACATTTATACAATTTACTTATTTAATCAAATTACATGAAATTGTGATTTTACAATTAAATTCATATATTTGTTCCACACCAAGAAATGTCCACTCATGTAAAACTACACTTGTCATACAAATACCAATGAGTTCCCAATACGCTCAGCTAATTCATTTCATGTGACCCGAATGCGCTATCTGTCGTTAAAGTCCGTGGTTCTAATCCGAACCGTTCTCTCTTATAAAAGAATAACCGAAAATAGATTGAAGCAAGATAGTATACTGAAATTGATGTAGCATTGAATGTTCTTGAGAGAAAGATGATGAAAATTGTCGTTTGAAAGGTCGTCGAATTACTTCGGTAATTTGACGTACTTCCGGCCACGATGACCGTTGAAATCACGCCTATCTGAGGGTATCTGGAACTGCTACTGGACTTGAACCGTGGAAGAAGCAGGAGTGCGAGTAATTAGTACTTAAGTGTACTTAGTATCGCGGTGTGGTTTTCGTGGTATGTGTAGTAAAAAAATGTGAGCAGTCTTAAAGACTGAATTTAATGTTACATTTCTCGTTCCTTTCCGTTAGACTGTAGAGTACAAACGATAGGTCAAAGTTACGTGCGGTCAACTTTTTGTGTGTGCAAAGTGTGTAGAAAAGTGAGGTGAAAAAATGTCTTTTGCGTGGAGATTTATTGTAATCTGTCGAACAGCCGTTCGACGGTTTTTTGTGCAGGATCGATTTTTGTGTTGAAGTTTGCACCACATACATGGCTTTGCTCGGCACACCGCACCCATGAGATTTGATTGCACTCTCTAGACCCCACGCTTCAGTGTCAAGGTTCCCGGTTTGGGGAAGAATCCGGAAGGGAGACACCGTGACCCTGTTCTCCGACAGAGCGTTAGCCAAATCTGCCAATATCCACCACGTGCACCCACGTGCTGTATTCATCGACAACGACCCCCTCGTCGATATTTGCGCCACCGGCAATCGGCGTTACTTCAGTACCAACTCGAAGATCGAATGGTAATTTCTGCACCACACCAGTCCGGGGTGCAATGCGCAACACCACCAATGCTGAATAGGGTGCTACTTTGCCGACCTCACTTCGACAAAGGGATGCTGCTTTGCCAACGCAGGTAAAGCAGCGACGACACCGTGAATAAACAAATGCATGCAAATCTCCTCACACACAAACACATGAGCTCGAAAACAAGACCAGGATAGGCTAGCAATCGCTAGAACTAGTTTAGGCAACCGCACACACAATTAGGGAGAGCTATCAAGCAAAGCAATAAATGGGAAAGGAACAAGTACTATGAATAAACCTAGGTTAGAAACACTAATGAATTAGAGAATGATTACCGTTTTTTGGCACTGAAATAAATGTTGTTCCGTGAAATTAAAGCTTTCCCCGTAATGTTAATTTTGGTTTTCTAGATTGTTCACATTTGCCGTCGTTCTATTTTTGCGTTTTTTATTGTAATTTTTATTTTGTAGCTGAATTTACTCCAGGTTGGACTGCCTGGGAAAATAGTCTCCGCACTCACGGATCAGGATCGGTTGAAAGGGAAGTTCCTCCAGTGATGATAAATGTGAGTGGGGTTGTTGTGTTTCGGTAGAACGACGGTAAGCGATAACTTTCGCTTAAGACCGTTTGAAGCGGCCTCTATCTGTGAGGATCTCAATCCCTCCTGGGATTTCAGTCTACTGGATTGCCATAACCTAAATTTCGGTCTCTTTTATACATAAACCCACCCTGAGGTTGGGTTTCTTGCCGGGCAAACTAAACCTAGGCGAGTGGTCCTCTTCGGATGTGGTGCTTAAGTCACTCGTTATCGAGGCAGAAAGCGCATTAAGTGGTCAAAATCTCACAAGTAGTTGGCGTGCGTTGCATTTGCCCCACGTTGGGCGCCAAATGTAACGCACGCCAGCTACCTGTGAGATTTTGACCACTGAATGCGCTTCCTGTCTCGATAACAAGTGGCTTAAGCGCCATAGTTGTGGGCGATTACAATCTGCCAAATCTAGCTTGGGACTTCGATGAGGACGTCAGATGATTTCTGCCTATCAATGCTTCATCAGAACAGGAACTCGCTGTAGTGGAGTCCATACTGTCTGCTGGATTGAAGCAAATCAACGATCTGGTGAACACGAATGGTAAGCTTCTTGACCTGGTTCTCGCCAGTGACTCCGATTGCATCGAGCTGTTTGAACCACCCTCTGCAATTATGAAAGTTGATTGTCACCACAAGTCTTTGGTTCTAAAAGTTGACTCCCGTTCGAGAGATCATCCGCTCCCGTACCCAGCAGCCCGCAGTTAGTATAATTTTGCACAATGTGATTTCGATGTTGTTAACACGAGGATTGCCGCCTTGGATGGGGTACAAATACTTGACCAACCCACCATTGATGCCGCCGTCTCCGTATTCTACGACAACATCTATAAAGTAATCCAAGATACTGTTCCGGTGAAGACACGAAAATCTTGTTTGCAATTCCAACAACGTTGGTGGAATCCGCAATTGCGTAATCTGCGTAACCGTCTGCGTAAAGCGTTACTTTCGTTCCCGGACCGCAGCAAACAAGTATACGGTGCAGCTAGTAGAAGCAGAGTATAATAGTTTGCAGGAAGCTCGCTTTCGTGAGTACGTCGACAACCTCCAGAGGGGTTTCAAGGTTTGTCGTTCTGGTATTTTATCAACTCTCGGAAAAGATCAGCTGGTATTCCCGTGGACGTCACCTACGGTAGTAGAAGCTCCACCACTGACACCGCTTCTGCTGACCTTTTCGCTGACTTTTTTCGATCAAACTCCTCCACCGCAGCAATACATTGATCAGCTACCAAGATACGACATTCACCTGTAGCAGCTCACCTTCAGTCAAGACGCTATTTTCAAAGCCCTTTGCTCAGTCGGTCCATCGAAAGGTCCAGGGCCGGACCGTATTCCACCGTCTTTCGTCAAAACTGTGCAGCATCGTTGGCCACTCCCGTTATGTCTATTTTCAATCGATCGCTTAAGGATGGAGTTTATCCGGATGCCTGGAAGCTCGCCTCAATTACACCAATCTTCAAGTCCGGTAACATGCACAAGGGGGAAATTACCGACCTATCTCGATCCTGAACTGCTTGGCCAAATTTCTCGAAAGTCTTCTACATGAGAAGTTGTATCCAGCTGTTCAACCCATAATCTCAGAGTTTCAGCATGGATTCATGAAAAAGCGCTGGACAGTCTCTAACTTGATGACTTACACGAACATTCTTATAGGTAGCTTCGAGAAGCGTCAGCAAGTGGACTCCGTTTACATTGACTTCTCTAAGGCTTTTGACAAAGTCCCTCACGACTTAGCCATTATGAAGCTAAACCGCCTGGGTCTTCCAACGTGGATCGTTTGTTGGATGAAATCATACTTATCATCCAGGAAGGTTTTCGTTAAGGTACGTGATTCCAGATCCGAGGTATTCCATATACTATCGGGGTTCCACAAGGGAGTCACCTAGGACCTCTAATTTTCGTTCTGTTTATTAACGACGTGTTTGATATGCTAAGTTCCTGTAAGTTGCTATATGTGGATGATCTTAAGCTGTACCGTGTGATCAAATCAATCGTGGATTGTTGCGCACTAAAAGCTGATATAGAGCGATTGTCATCTTGGTGTTAGATGAATGGAATGCAAGACAATGCTGTCAAATGCAAAGTGATTACCCTTCCCTAATAAAAATAACCATAAAAGAGAGCTTAACGACGTGTTCAGGGTATAATCCAAACCATTTGTGGGATAGTTTACCCATCCGGGA